GTCCATCTTGGATTTTATGTAAATTATTTCAGCACCATATTTTATATTGGATATACTGTTTTAAATTGTTGTTGTTTGTATTTCTATTTTAATCTTGTAAGCCGCCCCGAGCTGAATATTGGATGGGGCGGGATATAAATCTCAATAATAAAATAATTAAAAAATAAATAAATAAAAGTCTGAGATTCTAACCCCTATATTACACTGGCTCTTCATATGTCTTTGTACCTGATATCAGAATAGGCGTGTATCTTCTGAACTTTAATGTCTGACTCTAAGACATTCAGTAGCACTGCAAGCTGTCGCACAAGTGTGCCTTTCTGTTGCTCAGTCAACTGGCCAGCTCCAACTTGCAATATCAGTTCCACTAGGCTATTTTTCTTAGGGTCTGAAAATGCAGAAATGATAGACTTCTTTCAGATCATGGCAAATATTCTCTTCATAACATTTCCTGGAAGCGCCAAAAGTGGAAATAATAACTTTTTAAAAAAGGAAAACGCATGTTCCATGCATAAATTTATCACATATTGAATAATAATTATACTCTCAAACACAGTATATATGAAGTCCCAAGCAAAGAGTTTCCCCCCAAAATCTCTACAGTCTCACTCCTCCCTGCAAATGTACATGGAAATTATTAGTTTAACGACACTTAATGGTAAAATTCAGCAAAAAGAACGGCAAAGGATGGGAGAAACAGAGGACAGGGGAGCAGGGGATAATAAAATTCAAGGCCAGACTGACAGTCTATTCAAATGCATACTGTGTATTGGGCAGAGAACAGAGTCATCAAGGGGCACTCCACTCTGTTGCTTCTGCAAATCTGAGGCTAATTTATAAAGGCAGACTGAGCAGGCCCAACCAAAAACCTTCTGATGAAAGAGCTCAATGAGCTGCTGTTATGTTTAAATTGTGCTTCTGGCCTCTGCACATGCAGTGTTAGCATGCCACGTATCAGTAGTCATGCTGTCATTCCAATTATGCCAGCCACATGGAAGTGCATGCCGATAAAAGTGTGTCACTCATGTTTAAGTCACCAGCACCACTTTTAAATGGGGCTTACAGGTCAAAAGACCAAGACATACAAAATCGTAGTCGTAACAAGCAGGAGCACTAATTGACAAACTAAGGGGCAACAAGAAAGCAGCATGCAATGTGGCTTCACTGCGACAGATGGAATAAAATACAAAATAATAATAATTGAGGAACAGCTTCCAAACAAGCCACAACATTTTCACATTGTTAGTAAAATAAAGACAGGAAGTGGGCCTCGTTCATACTACTTTATGTTTATTCAAATGATGTACCCTGTGGGGCCCTTGGTTAGCAAGCCAGAGCCCCGCTATTCTACCTACCACAGCAGCACCACTGCCATTCCCCATT